GTATACTTATATATTTCAATTTGTTGCATTGTTTCTTTGAAAGACATATATAAAATAAGGAGAAGTGGTATGATTGCCAATGAGAAAACTAAGGGGACAACCAGTTGCTATTTTTAGGGGATGGTGGATTTTTTTCTGAGGGAAATTAATTTTCAACTTTGTACGGTTTTGACGTGCAAACATTATAATTACTTTTTACTTTTGTACACCTTTATATTTATTGCATTGTGTTGGGTAAAATATACATTTTCATTTTGTTTGGGCGAGGTTATTTATTTTTAAGTCCTCACCAGGCCAGATTATTGAATTTCACAATTCTGCACTCCCTCCTCAGAATATCAAGTGGTCGTCCCCTAACATACAGAGTCAAAATAAAGGTGAATACAGCAACTATAGCTAATCATACGGCCTTCAACATTATTAGCAAACCCGATACCCTGTAGTCAGTTATAAAAGGCCCCGACATGACAAAATGTGAAACAATTTAAACGAAAAAATCAACGCGAAACAATCATGCCTTCAGAGTTACATGTGATCCATTAGCAAACAAGAGTAGGCAACAAAGATTAATCAAGTAATTGATGAGCCTTATACACCAAACAAACTAATTTCCCGGTATTCGAAGCGTTACTAAATAGTTTTCTAAAGAATTCATTAGGATACAAAGGACAATAATAGACAATCAAGTAGTAGAGTAGACAGTCGAGCAGACTACAAACAAGGCTAGTAGTGAGATTTGTCAAGGTTATTGTAAATTGGGTGTAAATTTGTGTAATTTAATACATGTACTGAAAACTGCCTCAAGAGAGAAGAAAACAACCCTCCATTTTAATAGCGTTTTTCGTACAAATTTGGTGAAAAGTCTCATTCGGGGATGTCACATTCGGAAAAAGAGGTCGGGATTGCAGTCACGACGCTAGGAACATATCTGTTGTTATCTATGAATCAGATAATTCGTAACGGTCAACCAACTCGTGATGGCGTCCGTAAAATTTTCGAAGGGATGACATTGGCTTAATAACTTGGAACCCTTAGTTTAGTAAATTCCTTGTAAGCAGCAACCCCCTATAAAAAAAACATGATATGAAACACAAGCTCCTGAGGATCATATCAGTTGGTAGATGTATACTCCATATGGAGGGGCTGCTGGAATGTTGCTACATAAAACTGGAAAGTTCACAATTGGGAAGCTGAAATCATCTCTTTTGTCCTAAAGTTTTGTCATCAACGATCCTCAGTGTCAATTTCTAGATTTAATCCAAAATATGAGGCAGACTTATCTGTATCTGTAGTATCCTTTATTTCAAGTTCGATGGGATAGATGCGTTCAACAAAGTCACCAAATTTTGAATTAACTATTGAGAGGATATCATGTGTGTAGCGGAACGTGAAGTTAAAAGATAATGTTAGCATCTTTTCATTTCAATCTTTCTGAGAAGCTCATGTGTGAAGTCTGCCTCATAAGAATACAGACACAAGTCGAAAAGAAGAGGAGCAAAGTTCGTTCCCAGGAATGCCGATTATATGCTGAACAAACACCTCCTCCAAACATAACACATATGTTGTCAATCAAGAAATCAAGCATCTTGATAATGATGTTATATAGATACAATGGATAAGCGTGGATTCTTGAAAAAGAAACCATGAGCCCGGAGGGCGAATGGTTTGTTTTTCATGAATTTACGCTTATCCATTGTATCTATAACTTAAACTATTGGGTTAATTTCTTTTCAAAATTAAAGCCTTTTCTTAATTAGAAGGTATTGTAAGTGAGTTTAAATAACCATGTTATCGTGTCCAACGATGCATTGATAAATCTCAGATCACAATTAATTGGTTAAAAAAATACAAATATAACACTTCTACCTTTAAAGATCTTTATATTATCAGGCATCTGAATATTATCTGTTTTTACAAATAAGACATATTCGAACTTATTTCTAATAAAATTGAGAATGGAAATGTGGAATGTGTCAAAGAGACAACAACCCGACCAAAGAGCATATATAAAGTATATATAATAAGTATGTTACCGAAATTTCTAGCACTCTAGGCACATCACGATTTTCTCGCAAAGGAATTTGCGAACAAACATTTGTAAAATTATTTAGTAAAACAGATGAAATCATACTATATTTATACAACAAAAATTGACAAATAGAATGTAATCATTTTTGTTTCAAACATGTGAAATAGCCAATAATAATCCAAAAAATAAACGGTAAAACTCGCTATTATTACAAAAATATCCACTATAACATGCAAAATTAGAAAAAAAAACAGAATTGGGACAACAGAGATAATACAGGGATTCGAACCTAAACCGACAAATCCCTATCTTTTGACTCGTTGATTTTAAGCATGCTAACCTCGCGGCTACCAACTTATACTATACGACTGCCCATTGTGTATATATAAAGGTACAACCCCTGTGTGTCCGATGTTCATTTATATATATAAAATAGACATCTAAGTTGTAACCCACTGGTAGCCGAGAGGTTTCGTCGATGTGTTGATGTCAGTCATTCATAACAGATTTCAAGGAAGGGTTCGACTCCCAGTGAAGGCATATACAAATTACAAAAATTAAAGGTAAGTTTATAAATTAATTCCATTAGTGTTCAGAAATCAGTAAATTAGCCAATTCAAACTTAATGAAATTAGACACACAAAGGAAACAATTGAATATAGTTTGGTGAGTCCATTTCAGCGGCAGATTTAGGAAGCGTTGATTCTAGAAAAAGAATCCACGGTAAATGAATAGGCTGACGTCACCACAATGGTTTTAAGTCCGTTTCAGAGATTTGTGTTTTAAATTACAGTTGTTCTTTACAAAGTATGATTTATCTCTCCCTAAAACAAGGTTTTTGTATCTACGTTCGGCATTCTTTTTTATGAAACACAGTTGAACGATTCTTTCAATATGTCTTTAAATTGCAAAAGGTGAGAGAGAAAGAGTTAAATTGAATGTACTCTAGCTGAACTTTTTGATTTTTTAGCATCCACATCTGATTTACAACGCCCGTGACTAGGTAGTTTCAAAATAACTTTGAGGCCCGGCTTTGATTGCTAATAATATCGATGTTAATAGTTTTGTAAAAGGTTCGGTACTCGAAAATGTATTCATGCAATGCCAGAAAAATAAAATGACCGACTTGCTGCAGATAATCTTTATATAATACCGTAAATTTAACGAGGGGAAAAAGTTTTTTCATAATGAGTGTAATTTACAGGGGGAATATAAACAGCACACAAGTATAGGTCATATGTAAAGTGAAAGAAATGTTTGTCCAGTTTAAGCCACAGTCTGTCTTGTGAATAAGTACCTTCTTGAATAGGAGAAATGCCTTTGTAATATATCTTTTAATCTTCTAAAGTATTATTCTAAATTGTCCGCTCTCCAGAACTTCTAGAGAGATAATACTTTGTGAAACACTGAACAACCCTTTTTCCTTTTCTTTCTTTCTTCCTTTGTTTTTTCTTTATTGTGTCTATTTGATAATGTATTTTCAAAGATCAAAACATTTATTTGTAGAAGGGGTATAACTACTGTAGAATATAAATTTTTAACATATCAGAAAAGGGCGTGTTAGAAATATTTGAGTATGAAATAAACCTTTTACTGAGAACATTTGTCAAAATCTATATTTCGATCGTTTAATAAGACAAAATTTGTGAAATATTCAAAATATAAACTTAAATTAACATGTACATTGTAAGTCATGATTTATAGATGCATTAATATAAAAAACACAATATTTGAAAGCCGATGATACATTACGTGCAGCTTTAGTTATATGACCAAAAGTGACAAATATCATACTTTGGTAGCCAAATTCGAAATTAGTTTAATATTTCAATATGTTTATTGAACTGTATCAAGTCAGTAACGTCGTTTTCTTATATCTTAGTCGTTTTCCATTATAGAATTATGCATTTATAGTTGATTAAATGTAGTCTTTGTAAAGTATACTCGAAATCGCATGGGTGGCAGAAATAGAAGCAGGGGGTTGGGGGATTAACGCGTTGTTTATTTTTTTAATTTATACGTACGTTGTAATTTTGTGTTTTTAGTTTGCTGTACTTTTAACGCTAACAAAACTATTCAATTTATTCATAGTTGAAATAAAAAAAAGGGAATCTAGATTCTAGCTTTTAGAAGAGAGACGAAAGGTACCAAAGGGACGTTCAAAGTCAAAAATAAAATGACAACGCAATGGCAAAAAAATACCAATATACAAATAACAGTACACAAAGCACATCATAGAAAACTAAAGACTACGCAACACGAACCCCACCAAAAACCGGGGGTGATCTCAGGTGCTCTGGAAGGGTGAGCAGATCCTGCTCCATATGAGGCACCCGTAGTGTTTGTTTAGATGCATTTGTTTAGATGCTGTGAACTTATTAACCTGTTTTGATTGATGCGAATAGCTTTCAAATTTAAAAGCAATTGTGTTTATAAAAATTTGTATTTGTTTAAGAACAAAACTTCAATATTTCAGAAAAAAAACTGTCCTTTCCATAAATGCTTATGACACTTTTACGTTCTTTAAAGCCTATAGCTATTATGAACTTCGAGAGTCACTTTAAAATGAATTGAGACTGGGATGTAATTGAATAGAACCAACGTCCGCCTCTATGTTTAATCATTTTGTATTGATGATAAGTGATTTTTTAACGTTTAAAAACACTTAATGCTCCCGTCGTCTACGGCGGGGGCATAGAAATCCAAGGGAAATGCTATCGTTCCGTTGTATTACCAAATTGAAATGCTAGTTCATCTCGTTTCTTTCCGTGTCCTTTCTTGACACAGTACTCTCGTTTGTTTATTGTCTGAAAAGAATTCTTTTGAACAGAAAAGCACACTTTACAAATATTTGCTAAAAGACGCATTAAAAAAAGCTGTTCCTATTTTCAATAATGTTTTATTTCATAATATTCATATTTTTTAAGTGTTCAAAATATTAATCAATATATAAATCACAATTAGTTCATAGAGCAAAATTCAAGTCCAATGTATCCAGTCTTTCGTATCAAATACCAGTCCTGAGATAACAAATGAAAACACAAATAATTGAATTATTACAAATATACATCTATAAAAAGATTTAAAAATAAGAAAACTTGATCAAAATGTGTTTTCTTATCATGATCCTTAAATCTGTTTTCCCATTTCGATTCTCCGCAAATATCATATTTCAACAGAGTATGTACGATGAATGTAAATAAAACATAATCTAATAAAAAAATAATTATATATTGATTTCAGAGGCATAATTACCTAAATTAACATTCCTGATGTTTGACAAATCAAAAGTACGAGACGCACTATAGATGCCTTACAAGTTTTATCGGAACATTTGTCCTTCGATGCATTGACAAGGTATATTTTTGTATTAGTTGTCACTAATGAAATGGATGTCACGTCACATTTGTGTTTTGTTATATTTCTTAATTTTTTAAAGAAAATATCAACGTTTAAGGTTGATTTGACTTGCTGTTATTGTGTTGTTAGAAAGATGTCTCGTTGATGTATACTTCTTATCTGTTTGAAAACTATTCATTAAGGCTGACACTATTGTATATACGTACCATTGTAGATTGTTACGCCTACTTCCTAGTAACACAAACACCACGTGTTGCTAAAACTTCTCCAGCACTGTTGAAAACATTTTATTAGTGTATGTAAATTTGTCCTTAAATATATATTGATTGTTATCAAGTTATAAGATCATGGGAAACTATTGATGTTTCTTCTAAAACAATGAATTAAACGTTTTACTCAAGTTAATGTAAAATGAAACATTGTCAAAACAAAAACAAACCATGAAAGATAAACATCAGCTTTCGTGTTTAATATCAGAATAACTCTATTTATTGGGAAGATTGTAAGATCAGCTGTTTTTAAAGAAGTAATGACAAGAAATGAGTAATTTTACGTATAAAGAATAAGTATTTCAAATTTTTTAATATGAATTGCTATTACCAAATGAAAATATTTTCAAAACTGAACAATCATAAAAATGAAGCCATGAAACAGTTCAAAGAAGATTACTTACTAGCAGTTCATTGTACATTGGTTTGGAAAAGTTTTTCCACTTGCGGAACACACAGGGTCATATATCATGGGACAAATACAATCTGCAGCTTCATTTGCATACGTGCATCCTACAAGAACAATGTATCTTGAAATCTAAGAAACACGGATAAATAGTAGAAGGTAGACATATAGAAAAATAAATAATAAACTAAAATCTGAACTAATTTTTGTTCTCCGAAATATTTTAATATTTTCAAATCGTCGAAGTTAAGACAAAAGAACTGTGCTGTTATATTTTGTTTGTGAGTGAAAGAACCATACATACACACCATGAGAAGTAAGATTAATGTTATCATCCATATTTTCCATGCAATCCACAAAAATTGAAATAAAAATTCAATCGACACTCAGAGAACGATTTTACCTCCTTAGGAATTATATGTGTGACGTCATTAAACGTGTGCATACGTGCATACTCAAAATTTGTGACACATTTGACATTAACATAAAAAAAATAAACAGATTCCTAAACAGTTAGAAAGGACAAAAAATGATAAACAATCAATTAAACATTGGATAATATATGTTGATACCTTTGGTTTTCGAATATCAATTCAAATCAGTCATGAAAGCCATTTAATGAAAAGCAAAATGCATCAAAATATTATGACGAACACTTACCCAAAACAGCAAACAACAAACAAACAATGACCAAGTTGTTCATGATGACAGGTTTTTGTTTCTTCTGTTCTTTACAAGGAAGTTGTAGCGTTCAGATAACTAGGATTCTGAAACTTTGTCTTTTTATACTTTTTGCATGATGTACACAGTGTAATTAATATTCAAAAAATATATAAAGTTATCTTCATGGTTTTACGTGACATTGGTTTTAATGAATCAACTATCAAACATTGGTATTAACTTTGTTCTTCATTATACATTTCAAGTACTATAAACATCGGTCCGTACCCGGTTTTAAAATCTTATATATACATGTATTAGTAAATTATTATGATTGTTTGAACAATTTATGTTTTATGTAACGAATCTTACAGTTGCAAAAACAAATATAATGATATGCATAAATATTTATTTTATGTTCTGTACTACTTATAAGTTTGTGATATAACTCGAAGCAGGTTAAAATATACGCAAATATCTTTTTGCCATATTGTTTGAATACCAAATAGAGAAGTTTATTTCCCTAGATTGATAAAGGTATCGAGCGGCAATTCATGAGTCCATTTACTACGGATCTACTCTCTCTCTCTCTCTCTCTCTCTCTCTCTCTCTCTCTCTCTCTCTTATTATGTTTTTCTTTTGTATATTGTTAGTTAATGACAATCATAATAGATGATATTGAACTCTAGAGTTGTGAGAACAACTACAAAATTGAATTGCTTTTTTCAGTCTAAAAAGTAGTACTGTTGCGTAACTTGGAAAATTAGACACAAAACATAATTGTAATTTCTTTTTTTCTTTTTTCATTGGTAATTTCTGATAACAATTTGGCCAATTAGAAATTGTTGTCTAATATATAAAAAATTTTAATAAATGTGGTTAACCAGAATATTGGTTTTTAGAAACGCTGAAAGCCAAAAATGTAAAGCCAATGAAAGGTATGATGCCAACTTACTTACTATACAGAACATTAAATTGAGGATTTTTGTTATAATATCTGATTCTCAGCTAAGTTGTTGTTGATTTGCATTATTCTTTTTTCGTTGTTTTTTTTGTTTCGGTCTTATGGGCTCGCTCGGAAAGAATCAACTTATTTTGATGTAATATATTTGTATAACAATTGAATTTTCAAACTGTTTTTTCTTGAGTATTTTTTATTCCCCAAAATCAGCAACAAAAATTGTTTTTTCAGGAAGAATACTTTCTAAAATCCCAGGAGGAGTTTAAGGGACTTAATAAAGATTAACTAATACAATAAGCGCTGCATTTGAAAAAAAGACTGTTGTACAGCATTTGATTGAAGATGAAAACTGTTTAAACCTTCAACTCTGATCACATTAAGTTAAAAAAAATTAGAGATTCAACTCTAAATAAGAAAATTCAACTGTAAAGAAAAATCTAAAGAGAGAGAAAGAGGACGTGAAGAAAAACAAAAAGAACAAGATTTGAAATTAAAATCAAACCCTGACAACAGACAAAATGTAATTTGATACATAAAAGCAATTATGTGAAATTTTATCCACCCTACACAGAACGACAGGTGGGTTAATATTTCCTGCATTTTGATAAAATAGCTAGCAGCTTAAAACGGCCTAGCGTTCTTTTACTAATTTATAGTACATTTGCAGTGCAAAATAGTTCTAATATTTGTGCTTGAAAGATATTGCAGCAGTAAAAATGTTGATAAAAAGAATTACAAATATATACAGCTTATTCTAATTGAACAGATTAAAAACTGACTTCATCAAGATTAAAACCAATCTTGCTGAGCACAAAATTTACAAACTGTCGATGGGTTATGCTATGTTATTTACCCATCCAATTTCAAGTGAAAAACAAAATTTCCAAAAAAACCTTTATGTGCCTTTTCTAAAAAAGTAAATTTAGAACTAGTAATATGTGATAATGTTATCTCTAGTCCGTTAAGATGTTAAGAAATACTGTATCTTCTCAGCTTTTGTTGTTATACGGCGTTTTCGACACAGTGCGAGGAGTCTTCGATTATGAAAGTGTTTTGATTCAGGGTTTTGATTTAAGTTTTGTTAATGTTGCTTTCATAATGTTAATTTGAAGTATGACTTCGTTAGGCCTGTTCTTTCATTGAAATGAATTACTTTACTGATTGGTAATGATAAAGCTGAAGATAAAGTGATATTCAATCCGCTTGTTTAAAAAAATCCAAACATAGAAGATGATTTTGAAATTTAGAAGACAATATATCTGATATTTTACATCGGGTGGTGTGACACACTTATAAGACTTTACAACCCCTATTATCCTCAAACATTATGACCATAATAAGACTATTTTATGTCGTTAACATTTAAGTCACGCAATGTTAAGAAAATCAAATCAATTTTTTAATTTCTGTTTATTCAATAAATAAACCTCTTAAGAAAAGTGATATATAAGAACGAAAAGAATCCACACATAATCGCCCATTCGCTTGATAAACCACAGTACCAACAAAGAAAGAAAAATGTATAAGTTACTAGCTGTCCTCCTGGTCGTGGCTGCACTTGGTAAGTTAGTAAAATGTATAAGTTACTAGCTGTGATGTCCTCCTTGTCGTGGCTGCACTTGGTAAGTTAGTAAAATGTATAATCTACTAGCTGTCCTCCTTGTCGTGGCTGCACTTGGTAAGTTAGTAAAATGTATAAGTTCCTAGCTGTCCTCGTTGTCGTGACTGCACTTGGTAAGTTAGTAAAATGTATAAGTTACTAGCTGTCCTCGTTGTCGTAGCTGCACTTGGTAAGTTAGTAAATTGTATAAAAGAGGGACGAAAGATACCAGAGGGACAGTCAAACTCATAGATCGAAAACAAACTGACAACGTCATGGCCAAAAATAAAAAGACAAACAGACAAATAATAGTACAGATGACACAACATAGAAAACTAAAGACTAAGCAACACGAACCCCACCAAAAACTGGGGGTGATCTCAGGTGCTCCGGAAGGGTAAGCAGATCCTGCTCCACATGTGGCACCCGTCGAGTTGCTTATGTTATTACAAATCCGGTAAATAGTCTAATTCGGTAAGTCACATTCGTGAAAAGGGAAGGGTATTGTAGTTACGACATAAGTTATATAGTATAAGTTACTAGCAGTCCTCCTTGTCGTAGCTGCACTTGGTAAGTTAGTAAAATGTATAAGTTACTAGCTGTCCTCGTTGTCGTGACTGCACTTGGTAAGTTAGTAAAATGGATAAGTTACTAGATGTCCTCGTTGTTGTGGCTGTACTTGGTAAGTTAGTAAAATGTATAAGTTATAAGCAGTACTTGTTGTCGTGGCTGCACTTGGTAAGTTTGTTAAATGTATAAGTTACTGGCTGTCCTCCGTGTAGTGGCTACACTTGGTAAGTTTGTAAAATTATTGAAATCATTATGAATTAGGGATGCATCTCCCTCACCATAGCTCTCATTCATTGTCCGGGTTTGGCTTTACTTTTGGCTATTTTTAGTCTTAACAGCTCTTCATTTTTTGTAATTACAATATATTTATATGTTTTATTTTCAAAGAAATTGTCCTTGAGCATCACCGAATAGACATTCGTTGTCGAAAGTGCGCGCCTGGTTAAGTAAAATTGCTACAGTTACTAGTATTAGATATATTTGTACTAACAGCATGATTGATTCCTTATGGTACTTTAAGCCAAATAAGACAGGCATTTTAATTTCGTGATAAGCAATGATAAAGACAATAAAACTAAGATCTTTTTTCGATGTAATATTAAAAAGCCAAGAATGTATAAGTACTTGAAAACTTGAAAACAGTCTTGTCCACCTAAGGTGAAATTTACAAGAAGGAGTTAAAACTTAGTTTCTGAATAAGTTCTATAAGAAAATACACATTAATGTTGTTATGACCTATAGATGCTGTCAATTTCTTTGTCATTTGGTCTCTTGTGGAGAGTTGTCTCATTGGAAATCATACCACATCTTCTTTTTTATAATTAAGCTTCTTCTAGTCATTTTCGCAAAACTTATAAAACAAAATTCAGACACTTACAATGTCGATCGTGATGCCTACTGTACATGTGTTCATAAAATATATAATAATTGATTACATGATAAGACAAATACAGAATTTATAATAAAAAATGGGTTTAAATTCAATTTTATACGACATTCGTCAGGAAGAACATGGGTAGAATGTGTAAATAGACGTCTTGAGTTTACGTCAGACTTGTCATATCATAATAATGGTCAGAATACATCCTAAGACATGTCTCAGACACGTGCTTAGACCATCCTAGGATACTTTCATTGACACGGCCCCAGTTGATTACGGACTTGCCGTTTTGAATTTTTCTCCGAGTTCGGTGTTTTTGTTATTTTACTTTTTTTGATATATTTCATAATATAAACCATGATTTTCAAAATTGTCTAATACATTTAGTGCGAAGATATATATCTTATTTGTATAACAAATCTATG